TTAAATATGTAGGTATAAACCTTCATACTCAATATTTAACTTGATACTTGAGGTATATATTTTTTATATCTAATATTTAACCATCTATTATAGGAAACCAAAATCTAATTTATTTTAAGAATATAAACTAATATGCATTTTTTTCAAAAATAAAATACTTATTCAAACAAATCAAGTACCCACAAACATCATATATGCATATACCGATGCTCAGGCAGCTCAGCCCTACTAATTGGGTAAGCCTAAATTATTAGCACGTGCTGGACCTGCTGGTGCCATGGAATGCGAGTTTGATCTACTACAAAGGAAAGAACATTTTAAAGACCATAATGATTGGATCTGGGCCAGCTCATAATTCAAAGTATAACTGAGAAATGAGAAAGGCCTGATGAATAGAATGTGGGCCTGATCCTCAATATTATAATATGGATCGGTTACATAGTTTCATAGCGTGGGAGTTTGTAGTTTTGTTACTGTTGTTGTACTTGAATTTAGAGCATACATGTACTTCACAATTTTGTGAAAAACACGAATGCATATTTTAATGTTATGTTTGGTTTAAGGAAAACCAAACACCATTTTAAGTAACAAATATTTGGATAACAAAAATGGGAGGAGAGCGAAGAGGACGACTTCCTTTTAAGCTAATATCTAGGATCAAACTTCCAAATTTCCAACTCCAGATTTGGTAGCATATTTGCCCATAGCTACGACAGTTAACAAGGCGAGTTCAGTCGAGACTTAGGTATTTGTGCTTGACTTTGCCTTAAAAATTTAAGCTTAAATTGAGCTCAATTATTTGTTAAGATCAAAATAGTTGGATTCGTGCTCAAATTTACGGGTATGCGAGCGAATTTGAGCTTGTTCATGAGTTTAAATCAATGAGTACGTTGATTTAAATTTGAGTTTTTTTTTTTATTTTAAAATGTTTCAATAACTAATTATGTAATCATAAATTTTTTTATATTTTTCAAAAATATTGTAATTCCAAAAATTTAAACATATTAAGTTATGTAATAAAAAATAATTTTAAATTCGATTTGAACATTTTTATTAATAGTCATATTTCAAAATATGTAACTTATTTAAGTTACATTTTTGACCTTGATTAGTTTTTAAGTTATTATATATTTAAAATTAATAAATAAATAAATATTATAATTTTTAATTATAAACTAAGCATCATAGAAGCTCAAGTTTAAACTCATTTTTTTATCGAGCTCGAGTCAGTTTAACTCTAAGTAGCTTCCAAGTTACTAATAAACTATTCTACTCATTAATAGCCTTACCCTTAACCAAGAGAAGGATCTATACTTAATAAGT